AGGGGGAGAAGGAGAGGGAGAGGGAAGCATGCACCCACAGGACCGGGGCCCCTGAACCCAGAACTCTCCCTTTCTTTCACAAAAAGGTGCCTCTGGAGACAGGAGCAAGTGAGAATAATTTGTGGGGACTGGACCCCAGGTTGTCTGTCACCCATCTTAACCTCTAGAGTCACTCCTGAGCCCCACCTGCTCCTGACTCTAAGGAGAACCACAGGGTCGGTCCCAGGGGTGGGGCCAGGGACCAAGTGTAGGGGTGGAGTCTAGAGGCCAGATCCAGACCAAGGCGGGCTCAGGATGAGCCACCCCAGCTCCATTTTGCAGATTGGAAAGCTGAGACCCAGAGCCAGGCAGGGCGTTGTCAAAGATCACGCGCAGAGTCAGTGCCAGAGCCTGGGCAACCGCGCGCCCGGGCCCCACCGCTCTCAGTTCTCTCGTCTGACACTTCCAGGGGAGCGGCTCCGGGTCCGTCTGACGAACGGGAGCAGCGGCTGCAGCGGGACGGTGGAGGTCCGGCTCGAGGCGTCCTGGGAGCCCGCGTGCGTGGCGCTGTGGGACGGCCGCGCCGCAGAGGCCGTGTGCCGCGCGCTGGGCTGCGGCGGGGCGGAGGCCGCCTCCCTGCTCGCCCCGCCGACCCCCGAGCCGCCGCCCCCGCCCGCAGCGGGGAACACCAGCGCCGACGCGAACGCCACCCTGGCCGGGGCGCCAGCCCTCCTGTGCAGCGGCGCCGAGTGGCAGCTCTGCGAGGTGGTGGAGCACGCGTGCCGCAGCGACGGGAGGCCGGCCCGGGTCACCTGTGAAGGTGCGAGCGCACCCCCTACCCGGGCCCCCACCTACCCCACTGCCCAGGCCTTCAGCCCCTGCCCCTGGCTCCAGCCCCTGGACCCAAGCCTCGCCCTCCTGACCTCCAGCCCCACGGCCTACCAGCGCAAACGCACCGGGTTCCCATACCCTACGACGGTCTCCAGTCATTTCCAGACCTGAGCGTTTCCTCGGGTCTGGCCTCCAGACTCCACCCCTACACTTGGTCCCCAGCCCCACCTCTGGGTTCCCAATGCTAACCCGATCTCTAACCCCACTTACTGGGCCCGCTGCTTCCCTCCCCACTCCCGTTCTGGGCCTCTATCTCCTCCCCTTTCCCCCTATACATAAACTTGCCAGGTTCACAGGTCCCTTAGTGGCTCCCAGGTCCCCAGACCTGCCCTCGAGGCCCCGCCCACCAGGTCTCTGGCCCCTCCCACCAGCCTGCATCTCTGCGTACCCCATCTGCAGCCCTGGGGGGATTCCCAGTCTCGCCCACCAGGCTACAGCCCTGTCACTGGGCCCACAACCCGCTCAAAATTCTCCTGCCAGTCCAGCCATCACCCCAACCCTCCATCCCTCGCCGGGTGCCCCATCGTCCACCACCCCCTCCCACCCCTAGAGAACCGTGCGCTGCGCTTGGTGGACGGTGGCAGCCCCTGCGCCGGCCGCGTGGAGATGCTGGAGCGTGGCGAGTGGGGATCGGTATGCGATGACACTTGGGACCTGGAGGACGCCCATGTGGTGTGCAGGCAACTGGGTTGCGGCTGGGCGATCCAGGCCCTGCCCGGCTTGCACTTCTCGCCCGGCCGCGGGCCCATCCACCGGGACCAGGTGAACTGCTCCGGGACGGAAGTCTACCTGTGGGACTGCCCGGGGCTGCCGGGACAGCGCTACTGCGGCCACAAAGAGGACGCGGGCGTGGTGTGCTCAGGTCAGTGGGCGGAGTCGCTGAACTGTGGTCACCACCGACACTCACCACAGGTCTACCGGCGCCAAGCCTGGAGTCAGTGCGGCAGAGATGTTTCCTGCCCTTGATCTGGAGTTCAGGAAGGGAGATGAGACTGAGACAAACATAACTCAGGAGAGAAAGTGGTAAATGTCCCCAAGAAAGGCCAGGTGGAGTCTAGAGGCAGCAGGCAATGCCGAGCTGGAAGCTAAGGCGGGCCACCTCCTGGAAGAGGTGACATTAAAAGTGGGACTCACTTTGGGAGGCCAAGGTGGCTGGATCATAAGGTCAGGAGATCGAGATCATCCCAGCTAACACGGTGAAACCCTGTCTGTACTAAAAAAAAACTACAGGCCGGGCGCAGTGGCTCAAGCCTGTAATCCCAGCACTTTGGGAGGCCGAGGCGGGTGGATCACAAGGTCAAGAGATCGAGACCATCGTGGTCAACATGGTGAAACCCCGTCTCTACTAAAAATACAAAAAATTAGCTGGGCATGGTGGTGCGTGACTATAATCCCAGCTACTCAGGAGGCTGAGGCAGGAGAATTGCCTGAACCCAGGAGGCGGAGGTTGCGGTGAGCCGAGATCGCGCCATTGCACTCCAGCCTGGGTAACAAGAGCGAAACTCCGTCTCAAAAAAAAAAAAAAAACCTACAAAAAATTAGCTGTGCGTGGTGGCACGCACCTGTAGTCCCATCTACTTGGGAGGCTGAGGCAGGAGAATCACTTGAACCTGGGAGGTGGAGGTTGCAATGAGCTGAGATCGCACCACTGCACTCCAGCCTGAGCGACAGAGGGAGAAAAAAAAAAGTGGGACTCTTACCGAGTGGGAGTTGGCCACCTGCATTCAAGCAGCAAGGGGAGATGAGGCAGGGAGGCCTTTAAGGAGGCTGTTGGTCTGTCCAGGTGAGGCCAGAACGTTCTGGACCAGCCAGTGCCTCTATTTGATATGCAGGAGATGGGGGAGGTGGGTGTGTTAAAATATAGTTCTGATTTAGTAGGTCTGGCACAGGGCTGGAGAGTCTGCGTTTCTAACGAGATCCCAGGCAATGCTGCTGCTGCTGCACAGACCATACTTAGAGTAGCAAGGGTCTAGAGATCCCATCAGGGCTGGCTAGAGCAGATGGGGCAGGTGTGGGGGACACAGACGCAGGAGCTAGAACACACAAGATCTGGAGACCAAATGGCTGCACTGGTGCCTGCACTGCTGGGTCTGGGCTGGCAGGAATTTCAGCCCAAAGGATCCTGACCTGACTCTGCCTCCTGCCCCTTCCTTCCAGAGCACCAGTCCTGGCGCCTGACTGGGGGTGCTGACGCCTGCGAGGGGCAGGTGGAGGTCCACTTCCGAGGGGTCTGGAACACGGTGTGTGACAGTGAGTGGTACACATCGGAGGCCAAGGTCCTCTGCAAGACCCTGGGCTGTGGCACTGTGGTGGAGAGACCCAAGGGGCTGCCCCACTCCTTGGCCGGCAGGATGTACTACTCCTGTAACGGGGAGGAGCCCACTCTCTCCAACTGCTCCTGGCGGTTCAACAACTCCAACCTCTGTAGCCAGTCACTGGCAGCCAGGGTCCTCTGCTCAGGTAATCCATCCCACTTCACTCTCCCCAGCTTTGAGCCAGAATTCTACCTGAATCCATGTCCTAAAAACTTACGGTCCAAGGACCACAATAGGCACGAGATCAGCAATAGCACATGAGGCATAAGAATGACCATTGTCCTTACTGTGCCCAGGGGGACAGTGCTAATCAATCAAGGCATTTTCAGATGCTCCACTCAGCCCCAGAATGATGAATCATATATGAAGACATTAGGTGCTAAGCAATGGTTCCTATGGACTGGGATTGACTCAAGAGTTGAAACGAATTTGCCATCCCAGGCCTGGTGATCACAGTAAAAATAATATTGCAGGCCCTACTAATAATACTGGCGACAGCTTCTGGAACCCTGATCACGTGCTAGGCATTGCTGAGCACTCAGTAGCTCTTATCTCAGCTAAGCCTCTTACCCACTCTGAGTTGGGTTCCACCATACTTCACCAAATCTAAGATGGCGTTGTTAATAAGTCACACCATTATTATTTTATGTACCATAAAGAACAAACACTGCAAAAATAAACTGCCCAGCATAATGATCAAGGCCACGATCCCAACTTCAGACGTGTTAAAGTTGGAAAAAATGAGTGTTCTACCTGAAGAAGCACGATATTTGCATTCTTACGGCATTCAGACACCTGGTTACAAATTCCAGCTCTGCCATTCACAAGCAAGGAGGCTTCTGACAGTCCCTTAACCTCCATGTGTGGATGCTGAGACAGCTGGGAAACCCGATTCTATCTGCCAAGGGACTTTTAAGCTCCTTTCTTTGTGAGCATACCTACCCAACGGGAATGCCGATTACGATAATGAAGATCATGTCCGCTCTTCACCTTCCTAGGCTGCTTAAGAACAAACTGAAACTGAATGGAAAGGGGATTTGTGGTCTGCAGTAGCTTACACAGAAAGAAGGGATAATTCTATTCACCCTTTATTCTAACCGAAGAGCCTTCCCAGCATTTAATCCCTGAGTTCCTCCTTACTGTCGGGGGAGGGAGGTAGGGAGGTAAGCTTCCCGAGCCACATGCCCCTGATGGGCGCACAAGCCTAGTTCTGTGTCACTTGTCTGTCCCGTTCAGTTTCTAACCCAAGGCCTGGCACACAGTAGGTGCTCAGTAGCAGGCACTGAGTGACTGGGTGGTGCTTTCTCACAGCCTCCCGGAGTTTGCGCAATCTGTCCATTCCCGAAGTCCCTGCAAGTGTTCAGCCAGTCACCATAGGTAAGTGTTGCTGGGCACTATGCAGTTCCCCAG